AATTGTTTGGAGCTCTGTTTTGGATCTAGCTATCCAAGTAGTATCATCAGCAAAGACCAATACTGCTTGTTGGTAACTTATTTCTTTGTATGTATTATATACTAGATTTGTAGGCTATTTTGTTTCCATCTTGTATCTTGTATTCTTTGCTTCCTGAATTGCATATAGCAGAGGATCATAGAAGATACACTATACTAGAGGTGAGATTACTTCTCCTTAGTCAATACTATCCTCTGCTTTAAACTCTTCTATTAGTCTATAGTTTGTATTTTCTTTTTTCATAGAGGTTTAGAATGAAGTTCACTATAGTATTAGATAGTTTAATTCTTAGTAGAGCTTTTTTTAGCATTGCTAGACTTACTGAGTCAAAAGCTTTCCATATGTCTTAAAATAAGATTCACAGCTCTTTGTTTTTTTGTTTTGTATCTTCTATTATACTATTTAGTATATATATAGAGATAGCTATACTGTCTCCAGATAGCTCTGCATAATTTGGTCTTTGCAAAATATTATTTTCAACTAAAACTTTGTTTAGTCTATATATTAGCACTCTGACTACTGTTTTGCAGAAGACTTCTAAGAGAATGATTAGCTATATGTTAGCCAAGTTATAGTTCCAGTCTTCTCCTTTTGGTATTGGATACAACTTGTTAAGCTTTCATTTAATCAGATTTCTCTATTCTGTATATATAAATTTGCAAGATATCTGAAGATCATTTGTGCTAGAGGTCTAACTTTTTTATTTAATGAGTAGCTTATTCTTGACAAACCTAGAGCTGATTTGGGTTTGGTGTTTTTTAAAGCTTCTACTCATTCTTCCTCTGATATACTACAGTCTATGTCACTATATATTTCAGAGTTGATTTCTTCGAGTAGGTTATATATCTTCCTCTATTTTTTTGGTATGTTTTCTTCTTGTATATTTCTTTTCTGAAATTGTACTTTGAAATGTCTTTGTATTTCTTCTAGCACTTTCTTTTCTTTACTTACTAGTGTGATATCAGCATTATTTAATTTAACTACTCTGTCTAAAATTATTCGCTTAGAGGACCTTTCTAAGAGGCTTCTTAATATATATTTAAGTTCACTTTGAATAATTTTATATCGCTGACTAACTGCTGCATCTATCTCTTTTAGATCTTCTTTTCTTCTTTCTTGTTATAGCTTTGTATATAGTATCTTTTACTAAGACTTAAACATTTCTAGCTTTGCTTTAGTCTAGATTTCTTCTGTAATCTCTTCGATTTCAGTTTCATATGAGCTATTGATATCTGTGATAATAGTATTTGAAAATTCTCTCTCAGAGTTACTAATTTGAAGATCTAATTTCTTCATACATAGTTAACTGATACTTCTAACTCTTTTTAAATCTTTCTTAGTCTTTTCACTAGTACTTAATTTAGTTGTTCGAATGCTATCTGAAGAGGTCTTCTTTCTAGAGAGGGTTGCTTTTGCACAGCTGATAATGCTAGTTGATATCAAATCTCATAGAATATCTTTATCTTAGATCCCAATTTTTTGGTTATATTTGGGTCTTTTTTGTATTGGCAGTTTCTTCTCAAATGTTCTTTCAAGCTTGGCTTTGTAGTTTTTCCAATTCTCTTCTTTTGCTTTATCGAGCTTTTTTAGTATTTTATTTTTTTTAATTATTTTTTTAACTATATTATAAATTCTTAGTTATATATTTTTTAAATTGTTAAAAATATTATTAGCCTTATATTATTTAAATTAAAACTCTAATTAAAATTTTTAAATATTAGATATATTTGCTTAATTTTTTATTTAAGTAGTATTTTATTACTTTCTATGTACTTGCTTACAATATTTTTAAAAACTATATATGTTTCTATACTTGCTTATTTAATTAGTATGTATCTTATATCTAATATTCTTAGTATAGTATTTATTTTAAATTTGCATAATATTAATTCTTATTCTTTTTTTATTATTTTATTATTCAGATTTTTATAGCAACTTATTTTAATTTTTACAATAGGTCTATAAATCTCTTTTTATTTATTTAATATTTTTTCTTTTTAAAAAAATTTTTTAAACAACTTTTTAGAATCTTTTCTGAGTTGTTAATTAGTTCTCTTATTAATAAGTAGTTTATTAATTATTATCTTTTTAAAAAATTTTTTAATAAACTATTAATTGTTTTTCTCTAATTATTTTTTATTATTTAATATCTTTAATTAAACATTCTTTTATCTCTAATTTATTTTGTTACTACTTTCTGCTATTAGTTTCTTTTTTAAAATTATTTACTATCTTGCTAGTTCTTCTTGTAATTACTTACTCTATTATATTTTCTACACCTCTCTACTTGATTTTATATTCTTATTAATTTTTATTTTATTTTATTATCTACTTCAAATTATTCTTCTTTTGTTCTGTCAGATCTTTTCTCTCTTTTAGATTTTTTAACTAACTTTTTTATTACATTTATTGCTATTTGAAATTCTATATATGCTTTTTTAAAAGCTTTATTAATATCTGAGTTTAAAATTTTTTTTTCTAAATATTTTTTTTCTCTGCTACTTGTTTGATTCTTCTACTTATATTATCTCATTCTCTGTCTAAGTTTATATTTGTTGTAGTAACTCTTACACTACTTGAATTCTTTTCATCTATACATAAGTTTATGTTCATTCTTTTTTTGACTAATAGATGCAGTTTATTTTTATAATTATTTCAATTCTTTTTTATTACTTTGTTATACTCAAATAATGTTCTTCTTTTTCCTTTTCTCTTAGTTTGAGCCAAACTATTCTTTATTTCTAGATAGTTTAGTATTAGTTTAGTATTAGTTCTGCTATTACTAATTTGTAGTCACTACTTGTGTCAAGCTCATATCTTCAATTGCTACCTCTTTTAAACCGTAATTTAGCATATTTAAAACTCAAATCTATACAGCATAATGTATATAAAATTATCATCATTAAATAAACTATCGCTTATCGTCATACCCCCATTTCTTAAAGAGAGTCCCGAACCAATAAGTTGTGATTCACTGTCGATATTCGTGTGATGAGCATCCTTGTTTATTAAACCTATCTTCATTAGTTGGAGGTCACCTGAGAAGAATGAAAGATAAGAAAGAGACTTATTTTGCTCGGCCGTGAGAACCTTAATCACTTGGGTTATTTAGTTATTTAGTGTTGTTGGTTGGTGACATTTCCGCTTGCGACAACAGTAAATCATTACTATTTAAAATGCGATTACAGGTGCATTTTATTTTTATTTATGTTATTAATGAATTTATTATTATTATTTATTTATGATACGTATTTACAGTCAAGGGATCAAATAATACTAAGTGCATAATATAAAAAGCATATATCGTAACTAGTTTATGACATAAGCTGTAAAAGTTTCTACTGCATCCTTTAATTATAAACTAAATTGACAAAAATTTTGAGCGGGTCTAAAGAATAAAAAAAACTATAAAATTTAAGTTTCACAAGCATCGTTGTTTTCTTAATTATTTTACTATTCAAAGATGTCATAGTACATATTTGTTTTATATGTTATCTTATGGACACACAATGCTACAAACACACAGTGAGCGGGCCCATTATGATAACAATATGTATAGTCGATTGATTGATTACAGAATTCAGAACTTTAATATATGTTCACAAAGTTGAGTCAAATAGCCGTTAATCTGTTTTATTGTGGCTTATCGTTATCGCCACTAGTGATCATCACATCATGTCAGATACTAATTAATACTTTACACGTAAACGTAAAACGTGAAAATATTTAAATAAATTATATCCAATTAAAATCTATACATCTGGTCATGCTTTATTAATAAAAATTTTTTAGCAAAAAAGCAGATTTCTATTGAAAAGCGCCCATATCTCAAAAATTCGCTTATAAAACCACCTTCAATGTTCTAACAAAAAAATTCCTTACTAAATTTTGCATATACTAGTGCCTAGATGAAATCCAGGCTCGCCCTAACCCTAAAGTAAATGAAATGAGATTTTTTTTTGGTTTATCGTTATTGTTACTGGTGATGATCACTAGTTGTAATTTTCTTTTATTTCTATGTATACATATTAGATATATTATAAATGTATTATACGTAATATATATTTTTTATCTTTTAATTATACTTTAAAATGTTGTTAGACGAATTTTTTATTTTGTTTAACATATTATATTTCATCTTTTCCATTTTAAATCATCTTCCATGTGCATCGATAAAATTTCGGTTCAAGAATCTGCTTACTTTTAATCATTAATTGATGACTGCCGAAGTTTTTAAACAAAGGCACAACCAAGTTAGACTCTTGTACTTATTATAAATTATAAAAAAAAAAAAATATATATATATTTACTCTTGTACTTATTATAAATTATATATATATATATATATATATATATATATATTTCATTAAAGTCTTAATAATAAAATTAATATGTATTTACTGTACGTATAATGTAGGTGATACCACTAATAAATGTAAAATGTAAAAATTGGACTTCAAATCATCTTTTAATATGCAATTATTATTAAAAATATAGGAATTGTTAATAAAATTTATTATTATTATTTTTTTTATTAACAAGAGTTTATTAGAGGTTTTTTTTTTTTTTTTTTTACTTCTGAGTTTATACTAGTTTATGAGATACAAAGACTAACGGTCGGTGTTCAAAACAAATTTTGCTGATCACTATCGTATTTAGTATATAAACAATCGTCATCCACTCATGTTTAAGCAACAAGTACCGTTACTTTTGTTTCTTGGGCTATATATTATACCGGAAGCTAAATTATTTTCTCACATAACGGGTGACTGATTAGGGAAGATCGTAGATGTCACGTATCTTCCGATTCCGACAATTGTACAAAGTAAATAAATCTTATCAAGATTAATAGAAGTTATAAAGTTGTATAAATCCGCAATGATACAGTATATATATCATAACTTGTAAGATCTATTGCCCTCTCTTTGTTCTTTTAAACTTACCAATCGTACATACCAGATATGGGTTGGGATTCTACCATACGAGATTTGGAAAGGGACTATACTTTCCAAGATGTGGATAAGTCTCAACAAGGCGTGTATAGGCCTCAACAATACATGAAAAGACCTCAACAAGACATAGGTAGGTCTCGAGATAAGCAACATAGAGTTAAGAAAGCCTGCGATGGCTGCCGTAAAAGTCATTGTAAGTGTGACGACATCAAACCATGCAAGCATTGTAAAAAAATTGGCCTTCTTTGTACTATCGACGGACAAGCAGAGGAGAACTTTACTATAGAAAGTAAGTAAAAACTTTTGTATTTTGTAAATTATTGTAAAAAATCCATAAAAAATAAGATTGCTGGATTATTACAACTTTGAAAGTTTTATAAAAATGGGTTACTTAGTGATTCTGTGTAATAATTTCATTCAATATGGGCTAGGTGCTGGAAAAAGGGCCGAAAATGACAATTTTTTTAAATGAGTTTTTTTTACATAAATCAATTTAGAATTAAATTAGGATCATTTTTCAATTAAGATACAAAAGTAGTTGTATTAATAAAATTTTGCAGTATGCTCTTTAAAGTTTGCATTTTCT